TGTCCATCCTTTAACCTTGCCTTTCTCTCCCCCAACACAAAACCCTGATTGTCACAGCTCCCTCCCCCCCCTTCCGACACTACTGATTTCACTTGTATACTTGCCCTCCCCCCCTTCCTTCGCTGCTCTCACATAGCTGTGTATATTTCCAACACCAGTCTGCTTTTACCGGTTCTCACGGTCTCTTCGCTTGCGAATTTCTTATATTTTTCCTTCTACCCCGAAGATGGAGGCGATACATTCCTGCGAAACGTCGGTTAACACAACATATACACGGTGCCAAATACCAGAAGACTGCTTTCTTCATGTGTTAATATTGTTACTAAAAATTTTCTAGCTTGACGCCGGTGTCAATTGTTCGCCATACCTGAGCCTAATCCGTAACCATGGCGACAATGCTCTTTGCAGGAGTATAGCAGATTCTGGTCGAGATTTTGCAGACGACTTTCATGTGTTCGGTCTGGAATGGACTGCTGAACATCTGAACTTCACTATTGACGGCAAGTTAATTGGGTCAAGAGGTGTCCCCCCTGGTGGGTTCTGGAGCTTGGGAGGTTTCGATAAGATTGAAGGAGTGCACAATATCTGGAAAAGTGGAAAACCCATGGCACCTTTTGACAAAAAGGTAACGCTAAGATACATTTATCATTAAATAACAAGGTGAATATTTTGTTTCAGGGCCAAATCTCTATTAAAGGCTTGTGTGAACATTTCATATGTGTACGTGTACAATGTGTAGAATATGTTGTCACTTTTCGTATGTCTAGTTTCTTTATTTCCCAAGGAAAGGTAGTTTTATGGTATTACCACATTCTTTTTTACTATCTATCTATCTATCACGTGTCGCTCTACGACCTTTGTGGAACTTGACCTATCTTTCAGTTTCTTAATCATATACACAGTCCGTAGGACTCCTTGGACGAGTTATCAGTCAGTCTCAATGACGCTACCTACACACAGAAAAACACAAACACAGAATAAAAGTACACATATATCAATGTCTTGAGTGAGATTCGAACACACGACTCCAGTGTTCCAGCGGGCGAACACGCTTCATAGCTTAGACCGTGCGGCCACTCTGATAGTGATCTCTTTTTGACTAAGTGTTAGAATTGTTCTCAGGACAAATTGACTTTACGCATCATTCAGGAGCCAAATAATAACTGGTTCTTAAATGAATTGGAACTCCTATTAAAGGCTATCACCTCCGTCCAGTGTGACTGATAATTTTTTTCTTCTCCTTTTTAATCTTTCATCCTTCGCATGTTTCGGGCTGAGACTCCATCTTCAGAAGGATATATCAATACAGGTGGAAACTACTATTACAATGTGATTGGTCAATATCAACACACATATGCAATATTATTACAATGCCATGAAAATAGCCTTTAACAATTATAGTGATGTACATGAATATATTAAACTATTTATAAATTGTTATAATTAGTTTATTTACAAGTGTGGTTTAAAAAGACTTCGTTAAAATTTACAACCAACTTGTTTTACTCTTAGGAAGTCCAAAAATAATATTAAAATCACGTCAAAATTTTGACAGTGAATGAAACCCAACCTAAGCACATATACTTTTCATTAGATTTTGTGGACTTCATTTACTGCGGACTTAAGTACGTAAATTGACCGGTAATTATCAATATACAAGTCCATCTACTCTGTGGACCAGGCCAAACCATAACTTGTCTAGACAATGTTAAAGAAGAAAGCCCTGTGTAAGAGAGTTTGAACTTCCCACCATATTATAAGTAAGGTAAAATTGTTCCTGTGCTTAGCTAATTAAGCACTTCGCCATGAAGGCGTAAGTGGGAGCGAGTGTATAGATCCACCTTTTCTTGACCTCGGCACTAGCTGGATTTGAGTGGTCAGCTTCATGCCCCTGTCGCTTTACTACTGGGGATAGAGGTCCTGGTACCCATTGGAAAGGAGTCCGGGTGGGCCCCAATGCCGGTCTGGGCGATATGTAGAAGAGAATATTCCTACCCTACACGGACTCGAACTCTGACCCTTCGGTCGTCCAGCCCGTAGGCAGTTGCTATACCGACTGCGCTACCGCGGCTCAAGGCGTATGGGGGAGTGGATATATAGATTCTCGTTTTCTTGACCTCGGCACTAGTTGGAAGTGAGTGGTCAGCTTCACGCCCCGACCGCTTTATCCCCGAGACCATATTATAACTACCGGATGTGTGTCGAAATTGGAATATAGGAAATTTCTAATGATGACGTAAGGGTCTGCGACACAAACCTGATGGTGACGCACCCCCGTTTTCATGGTAGCTGGAGTATAGGAACATAAACGAGTAAGACAACTTTGTCCCTTCCCGGGCACGCAAAGCCAATAACTTCAGCTCGATACAAATGAAGCCAAATATAATACAATAATATACAATATCATGTACTGGCGCTGAGGTCAAGTCTATATATTTCGTAACTGGGATGGAAGAAAAGGTAACAATGGCCTGCATGCTGTAAGAACACGGCGTTCATACATTTATCAGCAGGCTTATGTCAGAAGAGGTCGAAACATGTAGCGTACACCTTTGCATAATAAATGAATTATAGTGAATACAGCAGTATCTATTTTGTCTTCATCTTGAAGATATTTTTATGTTGTGCTCACGGCCTAATTTACATGATTATCGAACACACAACAGGATGCAAACCATAAGGAAGAATTATCCATATCTTGACAAGCAAGTTCTCACAGTGCCCGTTGACAGTACCTCGCCTCGAATCTAGCAGTTGCCTTGATACTATATCACTGACTTTCACAACACCGGTCGGTTCCATCCCTTGATATTATATCACTGACTTCCAGAACGTGGGTCAGTTGTAATATTAGTGATTTGCAGCAGGAAATTACGTAAAGATAGCCTGAGTTTTTCATTGCATGTTATACCACAATACCACCCAGTGCTTTAAGCATATGTTGATTTGAAGGCTGAAATAGTGGAGGGTTATAGTAATTATTATAAAATCATTGCATGAAAAGTGATTTATGAAGTAGAAATATTTATGTAAATGGAAAAAACTAAACGACCTTGAAAGAGTATAATATGGTGTTCGGATTCTTCCGATCCTTGACTCTTTATGACTGTAATACACTGCAGTTAATGACATCAGAAAGTGGTGTAAAAATGTTGTGTAAATTATTGTTGTTCATTTATTATATTTTTTAATATGTCCCTTCCTACAGAGAACAGTGGCAGGTTTAATTCCACTCACCGCTTATGGCCGTGAAGTGTTCCGCTTGAGGTTCAAAGCCGGGATATACGGGCAGGGAACAGTAGGTCTACATATTATTAGAGTCTTGTGCTCAAACTTAATTTTTACTAAATTTCGTCCACTTGACACATAATAAAGAAAACAGGCACTTGGCATGAATTGCAAATCTCAGTAATATTTTTAATCACTTCTTCAGCCTTAATGGATTCAGTCTTTGTGGCCTGTATCGATACAGACGTTTTTTTTAAGACTTGGTCTTTTATAGATATTCAATGGGACTCTTTGAAATGCGGAGATATGATCGCGTGACCTCCATCTACGCAGCATAAGGCAACACCTAATACTGGGAACATACATCTATATCCGAGAAGGGATTCGAGCTCGCTGACCCAGTGTTCGAGCTGTCCTTACACCTCCTAGACAAATTTTAATCTTAATATTCTACTGTTTTATATTATCAAATGGTTTCACAGTCTCATAAGCAAGAGGGACGCGCAGGATAACACGACAGGCTGAACAATACGCATGCGCATAGAAGGGATAACACAGTACCGATAAAAACAACGATACGGAAGCACATTAGTTACCTAATTTATAATTTTAAAACACCTAGTTTATCGAAACATGTGTTGAATAACTTTTAATGATATTATATTTAAGCATCCTGTTGCACTCCATACGATAAATGATATAAACTCCGTCTCAAGTGCAAACAATATATTTTGTGTCTTTGATCTTGCTCCCCACACTACATGTTTCGGCCTCAGACGGCCATCATCAGGTGTATAACACTCACGTCGCTGTCACACTGCACCCAGTTCAAAATTTAACATCTAAAACACTCTCCCTGTCATTATCAACTTCTACTTCGTTGATAGCTGTCCACCCGTAGATTACTTCACACACGTTCATTTTGAGTTTATTGTAATAGCACCATATTAAAATCTTTAGTTCTAATTTTAAACCTTTAAATTCTTGTCCAAATTTTAAAATTTTAAAATTGTTAGGGTTATTCGCCCTGTGTTTGAAAGATTTTAATATGGTGCTATTACAATAAACTCAAAATTAACGTGTGTGAAGTAATCTACGGGTGGACAGCTATCAACGAAGTAGAAGTTGATAATGACAGGGAGAGTGTTTTAGATGTTAAATTTTGAACTGGGTGCAGTGTGACAGCGACGTGAGTGTTATACACCTGATGATGGCCGTCTGAGGCCGAAACATGTAGTGTGGGGAGCAAGATCAAAGACACAAAATATATTGTTTGCACTTGAGACGGAGTTTATATCATTTAACTTTTAATGAATTTAAATCTAATTGACTTATAAAACTTGTAAAGTGAATAAATTTAAGTAAGGTCTATAGAAAAGCGTGCTGCACTTTAGACTGTGAAACCATTTGATACTAAATGAGGTGCAACAGGATGCTACAATATAATATTAATATGGTATATATCTAACTAGAAAATATGAATTAATTTCTACCTATTTCTTGGCAGTACGTTCCTCTAAGAAACTTGGCTTCGTTTTCAACAAACACCAGTTCTTCTCTCCATCCGCTATAATTAATTTTTGCCTTTACGTAAATTTTCTGAAGTGAATTAGTATTAACCAATACAAAAATTTGACAATTTAATTACATTATTTCTACGCTTTGTTTCATCCTTAACTTTCGGTATTTTAGGAGTTGAAAAGTGCGGACTAAAGGAACGTGATCCTCTTCGTTTTGCTGACATGCCTTTGTCTATAAAATTGGCCTATAATAACAAATACACGAACTCCAGATGCATGACTTGACAAATGTCCAGTAGTTCTGACGAGATTTGTCACTCTATAGAAAAACTTTTGTATAGTGGTTATACACTTACAGACTTGTCTAGTAGCTCCGGTCTTGTGTAAAGTGAGAAGAGTGAAACCAATTTATAACAATTATTTCGTGATATGCTAATTTCATTAGAAATAAAATTTGAGTTTCCATTGAAACACACCGGAATTGAGGAGGATACAGGAAGGCTAGAAATTTTGTCTCTGAGAGAGTAAGAACTAAATCTGTACAATGTAAAGTGGAAGGGATATGTTTTATTTTTGGTCAATGAATCAGTCTTCAGAATAATTGTAAGAAGATTTAATGCAGTAATCTGTGGAATGAAGCTGATTATTTTTCTTGCAAAATTCCCAAGTAAATTGCTCCTTAAATATTTAAATGAATATTGTAGCCAATGAAACCATGTTTTGAATACAATTTTCAGAAATTATACCTATAATATATTTCAATCATTTGTTTGATTTTGATTCACTATTTCATATCATTTCTTAATCAAATTTTAGATGGTTTTTATTTTCCAAAATTGTTACTTACTCCCACCCCTCGCCTTCAGGATAAATTAACTTCGTATTTTGTTAATTCGTTTTTATCTTAGTTAATTATGCTGTTTTGAAGTTCTTAGATATGGGATCTTAAGGCGCGTCCACACTACTCGTGCTCGTGCGTCAGGAGCTTACTGCTGCCGGAAAATTAGGATCTGGAGCTGACGAAGTGGACGCCCAAACTGGTTTGCAGACAAAGCCTTCGCATTTCTTCACAACAGATATCAGCTCCAGATCCTGATTTTCCGGCAGCAGTAAGCTTCTGACGCACGAGCACGAGTAATGTGGACGCGCCTTTAGAGCGTCGAATGAGATAGTGAAGTGATTATAAACTGTGATTTGGAAAGAGGTCATCCTGTTCTAATTGAAGACATTTCGGTGCTTTCGTAAAGAGACTGATGTAAAGCACGATATCCCCCTGTCAAAATAATCAGCAGCCCTGCTGAGTTTTGAACTGGAAATGTCCCAAGAGCAAGACTAGATCGTTACCACTGTTACCACTATACTAATCTGCTCAGCATTTCGCTTTTCAAAGTACTGAGCAGATGTCACTACTAACAGGCAGATCAAGCACTTTCCAGTTTCTACGGAAGATGTCAGGTAACGCTCTTAACATCCGGAATTTTCAAGGACAGGAGTTTTCAGAAGATGAGAGACATACCGCTGCTTAATAATATCCTGTTCGACGAAATGAAAAGTGGATTAATTTCTTTTGTTATATCAAAATATTCTCACATATTAGGGACCTCGCTAGTGACTATAGAATAGTCTACCTTACGTTAGGAGCCAGGATATTTCAGTTGGTATAGCGACGCGATATACGTTGGAAGGCAGGGGGTTTGATTCCCGGTAGGAACAAGAGATTTTTATTCCACAGCATCCAGACAGGTTCTGGGGCCAATTTATGCAGTGGGTACCGGTTGAGAAACTGACCACTAAACTAGTACCGAGGTCAAGAATCGTGGAGCTATACCATCACTCTCCCATATGCCTTCATGGCGTGGTGCTTAATTAAATAACTACAGGGACAACTTTACCTTTAAGGTTTACCTACTTCACAGTATCCTCTACGACTTTCTTGCCGTGTCGCCTTCCTTTTCCAATATCCCTTTCCTTCAGACATTCACAGTCGAAGCAACTTTACTCATTAGTTGACTCAGTATCCATAAAACCTGAAGATTTAAACCCCTTCTGCAGTAACAATTGTTCCGGTATCTGCTTCTATTTAAATTCTCTAAGAAATGGAGTTCGCCTGTCCATCCAACACAACCCTCCAGCACTGGTATGGTTAGAATGTCCTGCTTATTCTTCATGAGAAGCAATATGCTAGCGTTCCGAGTCTGACAATTTCATGTATAACTGTGTGCTTTATTTGTTTAAGGTTGAATATTAATAAGAAATATGTGATTCACACACAGTTTTTCCTAATTCTGAACGTGGCTGTGGGAGGCAATTTCTTCACAGATGGCTGGTACAACTCTCCTCACCCTAAACCCTGGAACAGAAGCTCCCCTCATCCCATGCAAGACTTCTGGGAGCACAGAGATTGGTGGCTGCCAACATGGGATGAAGAGGATATATCTCTGAAAGTCGATTATGTAAGAGTGTATTGTTACGACTGCGAGTAAACTGCAGATACTTGTCTCCCCACTGCGCATATGCCAAGCCTCTGCTCTTCAGTTCTAGCCTCTGGAGTCCGCACTCAGTAGCAGCTCCGTCAAAATTATGCAGAATATTCACTGGATGTTGAAGATCTCGTCCAACACTTTTCATTATCCAGAGAGTGAATACTTACGCCCACTGCCTAATTCTGTGTATTATACAGATTTTGGTGTTAAGTGACGATAAACTAAGTACTGGAGAGTAAAACCAGGAATTCAAATCAAAATCACATTTGAATTTCACACAATATTTCATGTTTAATTATCTGATTTATCAACCTTGCTGTGCTTTATGTATAATACATATCTTAGGCGTTCATTAAATTACACTTATATCAAAGAAGATGGGGGCATGCGGTAGCGTAGTTGGTTGAGGCACTATGCTACAAGCTGGAAGTTCGCGTGTTCAAGTCCCGATGAAGTCATTGGATTTTTTTTTCAATTGACCTAATCCTTCTAGCCGCACTACGGCCCTGGGGTCGACTCAGCTTCTTACAGAAATGAGTACCAGTCATATTCTTGGAATATTCTTAGGGAAAAGAGCGGCTGGCGCTTAAGGCTGACAACCTTGCAGCCATCCATGAGCCGATTGTCTAGAAAATGTGGGAGCCTCAGCATCTCACAACCCTATGGGCCTCCACGGCCTGTTACAGGGATAGCTTTACTTTACTTATTTTGCTTTTATCAAAGTGTAGAACATGGGCATGAAGTCACTGTGCTGCGCTAGTCATGTGTGGACTACTGGAGGAAATTCAGACTGGGAAATTTATATCCTAAGTTTGTTATTACTGAACCTATAGCTTCACAACGAAATGATGCATTGTGAAAAAAAAAATAAATTGAATTTATGACAATTTTGTCGTTATCAGTATGTCTAATAAATAATGTTTTGTTTTCATTTACATTATTCTTAAACCTTTCACCTAAACCCATCCTACCTCATACCTGAATACGTACTTACGTACTTCCATGAATATTCTAATGTTAATATTTCCGTATGAGAATACTTTATTAATGATTCCTCAGTCATCAAACAGCAAAGCATCCTTTTTGGCTGTCAGATAAAGATGTTGAAAAAAAATGAATTTTTGAACATAACAAGTGATCTGTTACTATAATTTACAATAATTCACAGATAAAATATATTGGTTCATCCTTTAACATAAGCGTTTAGACCCGAAAAGAAATGAAATAGATTGTTTTTTTCAAGATAGGTTCCTCCGGTACTTCACCGGGGTACACTTTTAGTTTCTTGTGGTGGGGTGAGACTGAGTCCACTTGGTACGTCAGCCACTAACTGGTCTATTGTACCAGCCCCGTATGATAGATCAATGTGGAACGGAATGAGAATTGACAAGGGAAACTTAAATACTCGGAGAAAACCTTCCCAGTTTCACTTTGTCCACCACAAACCCCACATGACCTGACCCGTGCTGGAACCCGGGCTGCCGCGGTGGGAAGCCGGCGACTAACGGCCTGAGCTATGGAACGGCCCACTGATATCCTTACACATATGAAGAATATCGATAACGAATGCTCTGAGACAACGCACGCAATAGTACTGAAGCTTTTGTGGTGCTGCGACAGGTGAGAGCGGCAACTGCGAGCTGGAGATGTGAAACTATGAAACAGGAACAGGAAGTGTTTGAGGAAACGGGGAAGAAGGGGACAGGACTTGATTAAAATGAATCTCAGGTTATTCCATGTGGGATTTGCGGTGAAAAATGTGGCAGAGGAACAGGATTTCTACGAGCTCTTTTTTCCCCTGTACTCATTATGTTACTCCTGCTTCATACTCTTCTATTGGCAGAGATTTTTACAGTAGGCCAATGTGAGGCTGAAATTCAATGGGACCTTACTTTCACCAGACACGTAAAAGTAAAAAAAAAAAAGCTTGTACAATATAAGGTTCTCACAGCAGTCGTTTTCAAGTGTCGTATCTTTTGGTACATAAGGACGAGTAGTCCGTTTAAATTCAACTGCCTTTCAAAGGAAATTTTCACCTCAATATTCTGGGTTTGACACGAACGGGGGAGAGGAGGAATGCATATAGGATATTGGGAAGGAGACCACCGGGAAGACCAAGACGTAGGTGGGTGGACAATATTAAAATAGATTTCATAGAGATAGGATGGGATGGTATGGATTTGAATGATCTGGCTCAGGATAGGGACCAGTGGAGGGCTCTTGTGAACACGGTGATGAACCTTCGGGCTCCATAAAATGCTGGGAAATTCTGCAAAATTGACAGCTTTTCGAGAAGGGTTCAACTCCGTGAGTGAGTGAGTGAGTTCTGGTTTTGACTAATAAGCCAAGCAAACAACCATCATGAAGCAGGTAGCAAGGTGCTATCCTCGGGATTACAGAAATTCCTCTCTTCCCATAAGCTCCATAGCTGATGTGGTGATCTCATCCTCGAAGATACTGAACACGGAAAATTGTTCCTTAAGTCTAGGAAGAACGTATTTCCAAGAGCCACGTACATAACATAGACGAACTCAAGGTATTTCTGCATCAGCCTGTTGAGAAACATCAAGGAAGTCGCAAGGTTAATTTGTGTACATGTTCTGATTTTCTGGAGAAGATAAAAGTTACAGCATGGAAATGAATACAACACTTAATTGAATCTTGAATATACGAGAGAGAATCAGTAAGTGGATCACAAATGGAAGTAAAACAGCTGTAATAGGGTTTCTACGTCTATCACTAGGTAGCAGCACAGTCCTGCTTCATGACTGTTCATGACGGTGTAGGTAGGATACGCGCATGCACATGTTGAGAGGCTGGTTTCAGTGGTCAAATAGACGACCGTGCTTGAGGAGTATTCTGTCGAAGAGCAGCATTTAGTTTGCAGTCAAAAGGACTCAATGCAAATGATGTTCATAAAGAAATATTTCCTGTTTTGAATTGTTTCCTGTTTACGGTGGGAAGTATTTATCGCGTAAAGCGGTTCACAATTGGGTCAAGAATCGCGGTAAACCTCTCGCTGATGACGAGAGGAAGGAAGTGGCTGAGACAACAGTGAAAATGTTTCTATACTGCGGGTTAACACGCGCTGGTAAAGCGATGAGATAAGTGTACCAGGTTTGTGGAGGACATGTTGAGAAATAAATGTGTTTTTCTAATTCGAATATCACATGTTTTACACTTTATATCGATTCGTGTCCTATTTACTGACTGTTCCTCGTATTTAACAGAAGGTTAACACATATTTTATACGACATAATATAGGAGTCCGACACGTTCATAGTGGCTTCTTTGTCCAATTAAAGGCAATGACAGGAACTCAAATAAGCTGATAAAATTAAGTTCAAATAAGATGTTACGCCGAAAACCTGAAGGGAACATAGCATTTGGCAGCCCTAGACATCGATTAGATGGTAATATTAAAAAACTTAAAGATATCATATGAAAATGTGGACTGGATTCACTTGGAAGAGCTTAGGGAGAGCGGTGGTCTTTTAAGAGTTCTGTTATGGATATTGGGGCTCCTTAAATGGTGGTAACTTCATGATTAGCTGAGAAACTATCAGCTTCTAAAAATATGTCTACTCCATAGAAATAATTAAAACCTTACAAATTTATTATGTTAAGTAGAAAAGAACATTAAATGAAGAATCTCATACCGGCATACACACATGTAAGAGCCCCACGAAAATATTTCCCCAGTTCTCAAGCACTGTTTTGAGGTTCATGAGCTTAGTGGCTCTACGTAAAAGCTAATACTAATACTAATCAATACAAATACAGGAGTGTTGATCTAAACATTCTGTTTAATAACATTAAGCTTAAAAACATCTCGACATGCCTTGTTACGGAACCCAAAGTTGTGTGGATGTGGATGATTACTGCAATAAGTAATTAATTAATTAAGCCCACTCCATGAAGGTATATGAAGGAGTGGAGGTATGACTTCACACATTCTTAACCTCGACACTAGACGGAAGTGAGTGGTCAAATTCATACCCCGGTCGATTTAACTCAAGGGAAAGTTCCATCCATATCTACTGAATATGAGAAGGCTGAGTTGGTCCCAGAGCAGATCTGGGAACTATGCAGAAGACAAAGAGCTTTTGCTTCTGTCAAGAATCGAACATCGGTTCCTCTGTTATCCAGCCCATTGCCTAGTCTCTATAAAGAATGAAATACCCTTGCTCCAATTTCAACAATTTAAAGCAATGAAAGACTCCCGACTTCTCAAACACCTGAAGAAACAACCGTTGTTAATGCACTACTTGGTACGTTCTTGGACACGTAAAACAAAGGAGCCAGAAAATATGAGAACTTTATTGGCACGCCTCGTATTAAGCGCCATCGAATTCCTAAACACTTTTGCGGATAATTAACGGTAAATACTGCGGTTTCCTGTGATATGATGCCATTTAGTCTGGCAGAAGACTAGCCACGCTTCCGACGATAAAGAATGTCGCAAGTACGTCGTAATCTGTTGTACTTTACACATCAGAACCATGGACAATAATGAATGCAATATTGAGTGTCTAAAACAGACACTTCGAAGAACATGTCCTCTCTCTTTCACTGAGACAGCTGAACACAGAGCAGCTGTTAAAGAGGTAGATTCTTCTAAGGCTATCAGCATTGTATCAAGAGGATCAAGAGGAACCCGTTCTTTTTCAATTTGTGACGTCAGGAAGAACAGTGGAGGTTATCATGGAATTTGAAATTAGTTTTAGATCGTACTCTTACAAGTCAGGTTTACCGGAACCTCAAGAGCCTCAAGAGATGTTGTGTTCTTATTACAGTCATTTTAAATGATTTCTTAACAGCATTCCACAGATTTTAATTGCTCGAAATGAACTACGGGTTGATGCATATTGCGCTATCTCTTGTGCGATGTATGAACTTCACAAATCGTTCTCACTTTTATCACGAGATGGCAGAAGTTACTCGAAATAATGCAGTTACCCTGTACGAATATCTTAGAAACGTGTTTAACATGTTCTTCATGAGTAATACGCTGAAATAATTCTTGAAACTTCAACTCATTATGAACATCAATTCTGGGGAGCTGACAAGGAAGGTAAGACAGGAAACTTGTTGTCGAATATCTGAAATTTATATAAATCCAACCTGAGATTGAGAGTTCAAAAGAAAATGCAAGCTTTATTTACACAACTTAGCTTGATATTTCGTAATCGGTGAAAGTATTTAGTGACGGC